ATAATAATTAAAAAGCACTCATGTTGAAAAAATGAAAATACATCGTACAACTTTAATAATTGTGTACGCAATGTATATTATTTTTCGCTCGTGCACAGATGATTTATTAGAGATGAAAATTTGCAAATGTACAACAAAAGAACCAAAAGTTTTGAAAATATTTGAACTATCTTGCACACATTGGAAATAATGCATCTTGCAATAGCGCGTTATATCGATGATTCAATTGGAATATTTACGCGAAAAGATGATAAGTGTCGCAAGAAAAAAAAGTCCGCGTGACTTTATCATGAAATCGCTGTAGGAGATATCAGTAACGCGAGCTCAGTTGCAGTTGCAGCAATGCGAAGATGCATCTAGAATAGCGAAGAAAGGAAAGAGAGGGTAGACAAAGAAGAGGACGGTAAAGTTGAAATCGCGAGAGGAGGAGAGAGAGAGATGCGTTTCGAGAGTGTATGAGAACGAGTCGTTAAGGGGCGGGAAAGATGGCGTAAAGGGGGTACGAGGGGGTCAGGAGAGGTGACGGCGGCGAGGGGGGAGGTGGCATAGCGGAGGATGAAGGCGGTGGGGGTGTGCATTGCGGATTTATTCCCGCCAACACATTCATCATGGCGGATTTAGCTGAACCCGTAACGCATTGCCGTGGATATATATCTGCTTCCATCCCTACCCTAACTTTCTCCCTTCTCCGTCCTTTACCCCTCCACCACCTCATCACAATTCCAACCGAATCCTCGCCGGTATATCCTATATTCTGACAAAACCTCTCTTTTTCAATGACTCCCTAACTCTTTCCGCGATACGTGAAGCGAAAGGATACTGGATCGTTTACGATGCTTCGAGTATTACGTTTCGCTATGGCATATTTTACTTACACCGCAATGTAAAAGTAGAAATATATATATAATTACGTTGCGTTAATAAGTAACTTAATCATCTTCGTGTAATTATCGCTATTCGAGAACACTTTTACGAATATTTCATAATTTGCATCGTAATGATAAATCTGGATGGGAAATTACATCAAAACAAGCTACATATATGCGCACTTCTTTTCCTTCTCGTTGACCATTCGCGGCAGAAACAGACCATAAATAGCTCTTTAATAAATCTTTGGTGTGCTATCAGCAGCTGATCGCAATGCATCATGGCGTCGCGTTGACAGACCCCTCTAACTACTCTTCACCCTTCGTCCTCGTGCCATCCCCTCTCTTCTGCTCCGCGTAGATACGATATTACGGGGATTGGTATAAATCTATGGCTCATCCATCTACATTTTATCCCCGGAGAACCAAGACACCCACGTAGAGACGCGTGTACAAGCACACGGACGAGCCGAAACGTGCACAAATACCGTCAAAATCTTCCTTCTTCTCTGCTCCTCATATCCTGAGGGTCCCTATTCGCCCTTCTCCCTCGAGACGGTTCAAATCCGATCTCCAGCTCAACCCCACCCCCTTCTCCTTCGCCTCGCTCGTTCCACCTGCTCTATCGAGATTCCAATAGCGGCCTTATCGAAGGCTTTGTACGATGAGGGATCGCAAGCTACCCAGGCACTTTCCGCGCGGTCCTCATGATATTTCACATTTATTATCATATTTCAGATATTCACAATCCATTCTTTATCAAGTCAAGACGTTATTAACGAAGTTGCGCGAAAGAAATTCGTTGAAAATTCTGCACTCCAAAATGAAAACGTAAAAAATTCTCGTCAAATGCAACGTTATTACAAATAATAAATTACTCGACTATAATAATAATTTATTGAATTAAATAATATAACAAACACATTTAATATATGCTTTAATTAATCGTTTCTTTCGTATGACTGATGCATACATGTTTTTTTTTCGTGAGAAGAAAAAATATACTAATTTCATTTACCTATTTATTATTTGATAGTATTCCGACAGAGAGAGAAAGAGAGAGAGAGAGAGAGAGAGAGAAAGAAAGAGATTCCCATCTATCTAAATTATATTTAGAAAAACTTGAAATTTTTTATTTTAATAAAGAATAAACTCTTTAAATATATATATACATAATAAGAATATTGGAAGATTTAAAGACATTTCTTCTCATAGATATATTTTATAAAAAAATTATATTTTTGTGTTCTAAGTATCCTGTATATTTCTGAAATAAAAATTACTGTGCTTCTCATTTATCAATTGCAAAATTCTGTAAATACAAATTAAAAGCTAAATTAGTTATATATTAAATAAAACTTCGTTTCAAAAATTGCAATATATTTAAAAATATTTTATTAATAATTTCGTGTATTTTTCTAAAAAAAGATTTTTTTTTAGAAAAAACATTAAATATATGTTTATTAAATGTGATATTTTAAAAGAAAAATATAAATAGAATACCATTAGAGAAAACAATAAAAATACAATTGCATATATTTTAGCGAATTGATAATTGGCGATAAATTTATTATCCAAATACTTATACACTTAATATATAAAAATATGTATATAAAATATATAAATAATATAATTTTTATATATTCTTTTATAACAATAAAGAATCTATTTTTTGTATATTGATTTAATCAAATTAATCAACGAGATACAAAATAAACAAGTATAATTAGAATAAATTTAATCAACACACAAGAAGAATTAAAATAAATTAATTCATTCACAATTGAACTTTAAAATCTTTTACTAATTTAAATATCAAATTTTAATGTTAAATTATTTTAAATATCTAAAAATACTAAATTGCTCTATTTTTCTCTTCCCCCCTCTCTCAAAAAAAGCATAAATATTTACAGCTATAGCCAATTTATAAATAGACCGTTGCAACTGTTTGCAACACAAAATAACAAAATATTTTGAAGATATTAATATATATTACTCACCGGTGCCGAATTTCTGCAAATCTCGTCAAGTCGTCAGCTGGTATCTATAGAAAAAAAAATTATGATATAATAATTATATTTATAAACAATATAAAAATCAGAATAAACATGCAGAATTCTAAAAATATTATCAAAAATATATATCAATCTCAAAATGTATTTATTTAATAAATTATACAACAAATTACTTTTAAGTTCAGTAACATGCAAATCCAGTTTCAAAAATCTTAAAAGATTTATTATGTCAATAAAAATATATAACAATCGCATCTGTGTGTCTAGGTCTAGACCGTGAGAGAGACAGAGATCGAACAACAACATGAGTTAGGACAAACGTAATGAATGTTATACTTTATTAAAATTGCAATGTTTCGAATCGTTTGATTGACCAAACGGAACAAAAAAGACATGGATTTTTTTCTTCTAGTCAGTCAATTAAACGCTTCGAAACATTTATAATTTTAGATAGAGTGCACTCATTGTTCATTGTTTTAACGCGCCATGGAATCATGCTTTATTCGCGACTTATCTTAAGATTTATGAGAAAATTGGACTTGTTTTGCATTTTGCGAATACTTAAAAAGAAAAAAAACATTTACGAAAGTAATTTATCAATCTTGCACAACTTGTTTTTGTTCCGAATTTTCTGTGTTTATTTCCGATCTGCGTACATACACACTTGCGACATATTACTTCGAACCATTTGCAAATGCGAGACGCTCATTTTAGTACTTATACCCGCCACAGGCAGCGCTAAGAATCATCATTGCCGCACATATAGCATGGATAAAAAGAAATATGCTATAAACTATTAAAAATCTTATAATCAACTCGCAAACAATGTTGTTACGAATAATCGCGTCTGTTTGGTTCAATTATCTTTTTGTCGACTTATGTACCTTTAAAAGACGGATAGACTAAAAGGATATATATATAATAATCTCGATTATCTCCACCGAAAAAAATCGCTCTATTTTTACCATTTGAAATTCCGGTCTAATATACCATAAAATTACAAAATAATATCACAATTTATTTAGAAGACTATGCTATTACGAATGATTACATCTATTTGGCTCGATTATCTGTTTGTCGGCCTATCTGTGTGGATATTATCGGAGCTCGGAGTCTCTGGTTCTTTATGACACGACGGTTTCACGCGAAAGAGAAACATGAAGTTGCTGCAAAATCCCACCTAACAAGGACAGTGCAACCGATTCTTAAGAATTTTTAAATAAAACTTTGATAAAAACGGCACGCGTAGACATGAGATTTATAGTAAAATCTCGATTATAAATCTATATGTAAACTCGATCCCAAATGTACAGCACTTAAAAGACCGATAGAAAAAAAGGATCTAATGGCCCGATTATTACCACCGAAAAAATTGTTCAATTTTTGCTGCTTGAAATTCCGGTCTAATAAGTAATAAAATTACGAAATAATCTCACAATTTATTCAGAAGACGATGTTATTGCGAATAATCGCGTCAATTTGGTTCGATTATCTCTTTGTCGGCTTACCTTTCCGGATATTATACGGAGCTCGGTGTCTCTGCTTCCTTACGACACGATGGCCCTGCGCGAAAGAGAAACATGAAGTCGCTGCAGAAGCGCGCTTAACATGTTTAACCAATCAGAATAAAAGCGCCAAAACTTCCTGCGTTCTGATTGATCGAGCAAATGAAGTATTTGTAGTGTCAAGTGGAAGCCGCAATCGATTCGTATATAAACACGATTTTTAAAATTTCGATAAAAACGGCGTTTAGATATAATATAAACGCGCGCGCGACATAAATTATAAATCTATAAAAAAACTCAATTTTAAATGTACAAGTACACGAAAGATAAGATAAAATAAAAGATTTTAATGAGAAAATAGCTCTACAGAAAAAAGTCGCTCGATTTTTATCTTTCTAAATTCCGATCTAATATGCCATTGATCTATTATTTCATACTTTTGCATAGGAAACACCATAAAGAAAGAGAGAGATTTTAAAAATTTATATAATATATTACATATATTACTTAAGAGTTGCAGCGAAAAGAAGGGATATAGATTGATTTCTTCATAAATATTTTAATTACTTTACACAAAAATAAATTAGTCATTAATCTCTTAAAATCGTTTTTATTCACCAAATTTTATTAAATGAAAATAACTGGTTGTATATAATAGTATCCTGTAAAAATAAAAATTTGTGAAATCTTTCTATATGCACACACACACATATACACACACATATGTTTCCATGTTCGCTATTATTAAAGTAGAACCTACTGATTTGTACTGAGTTTTAACACCAAGAGGACTGATAGCTGAACAGTTGTGTAAATCATATCTTTTATATATTTTTGATTAATATTAAGATTAATATTAGCATTTTAATGATGTATAAAATATATATGTCTACTTCTATTGGAGAGAGAAAAATCTGAATATATTTAATAAAAGAGGCACTTTTCAGGTTTTCATTCAAAAGTCTACTAAATGAAATCCTTCTAGTGTTAAACCCAAATTACATCATTCTTACATAAGACATGGAATATGCTCGTACATTTTTGCAACCGCTCATAAATTCTTCTCTGGAGACCACACCATCTTTATTTGCGTCCATCTTTTCAAAAAATCTGTCCACTTGGCTATCTACTACATGCTGAATAATTTGCGCGTCCTGCGCCATCTCGTAAATCGCGGATATTATGATCAGCATCTCTCGTCTCGTGATGCAACCGTCCCCATTTTGATCGTACAACCTGATAAATAATAAATCCAAAGAGATTCGCGTTTCATCCGTCATCTTCACTACTTTCGAGACTATCAGTTAGAAAAAATTTTCTTTAGTTGAGAAAGAATTGATTCTAGATCGGTCAAAGAATTTGATAATAAAATTAATTAATTCTCTCCTCATTTGTAATGAATATATTGTGGAGTAGACATAATGTTTTCCCTCAATCCTCACAATTGTGAGAATCAAATTATAATAAACAAAGAGAGCGAGATAGACTCTCACCTGAATATCCAGGAGAGTTTTTGGTCCACGTTACCATTGATGATCAATGTCATAGCTCCGAGAAGATCGCTGAAGCTAACAATACCATCACCATCCCTATCGAAACTATTGAACAGGATCTGCGCGTATCTGGCCGAATCTCCTAGCGGGAACAACTTAGTGTACGCGGACATCAAATCGCCAGTCATCACACATCCCCTGGGACATAACTGTTTGAAGGCGCGATACAATCTGCGAATCTCATTTTTGGAGAAGCCGGTGCGCCAAGTTAGAATTGACAGTTGCTCAGGGAAGATGTACATCGAATGCTTATCCTCTTCCTGAATACTCTCTATGAACATATAATCAAATGTAGTAATGATTGTATTTAAAATTATTGAAAAATACTAATTGTGCGCGCAATACAATTATTAAAATAATTTTTATTTGCGCAATAATTTCAAACTGTTAATGCCAGAATTATCACTTCTTTTTTAAATTATAGTATATTCGATAAATACTTCCTATTAAATTTTTTACATTAACAAAGTTCAAATCATATAAATGTAGCAAATAATAATAAAATTATGTTTAAATCGAATATATTTTAACGTACCAGTAATTTTTTGAATGCTTTTTCTCATTTTTCTTAGACTATTTTGCATCTTTATCGAAAAGCTTGATCGGCAAAAAGACTTACAGTTATCTTTGCCATCCATGCTGTTAAAATTTGACATTCTAAAAAACTCGAAAAGATACAAGGAATACACGTCGGAACAATTTGACAGCGATCAATGCTTTTCAAGAGCGAAGCGGAACTGACGTACGTGATGCAGCCAGATGTACGGAACAGTTTTGATGATGGAGCCTGCAGTAGCCAAAATATTTAGACGATTTAGCTTGGCATGTTTGCAAATCTCAACGAGAAGCGACGTATGAGCGGCGTCCGGACGATCTTAAGCTCACTGGATATCATCCACATCTTCGACAGCATTTTTTGATGGATTCTAACGAAGAAGCAGATTAATTTTTTCAAAATGCAATTACATTTTACTATCATTGCAATTATTAGTAGTTTGAATCGCTAAGTAAAATAATTCTTGGGTATGTTTTACACTTAAATATTGGATTTGCTGTACACAAATCTTAATACCAATTTTTCGTCAAATCATCTCTTATCATTTTGTAATTGAGAAAAGTAAAACTAAAACTTGATCCGAAATTCATTGTCACACTAGCGTTTTCTCTCATTGTCTACTAACATTCAAGATTAATTCTTGGAAAAGAAAAGCGATAATTTTGTAAACACATTTTTGGAGAATACATTTCTGGAATTTCTTGCCAAAAATTTGTGAGAGTAAATCAGAAGAAATATAGAAGCATTCGTGCGCAAAATGATTCAATCACATATCTCTTCGTGAATTTATAATAATATATATATATAAACTATAATTATAACAAAAAAAAAGATTGTAGATAGACTATATGAATAAATTTCGAAGAACGGACTAAGTCTAAAAAATCGTCTACCAACAAGCCTCTTTGTATAAAACTGCGCTAAATGGATTTTCTCTGCCAAATGCTATTAATAGTCAGATGGATTGGAAACTGACTATTACGATAATAAGAAATCGCAGAACATCGAGCTGGAAGTCGAGCTGATAATTTACAGTGCGTAATCCGGGAACTTCTGGAAAATATTCACAATCCATCGAATATAAATTGCTTTGAAGTGATTATATATTATATATATCTTCTCAATGATATTTGTTAAGGTGACATGAGTTATATATTTATTTATATTTAAATTAGAATCTTTTTTTTATATATGATGTATACAACCCAGTATTATGTAATTAAAAATTGATTACCAGTACCTTCAGTTTCTTATAAAATTGCCTGCAATGTGAATGAATCGAAAGATTCCACATAAGATGATGAATAATCAGCAAAAAAAATTTGATGACTATATTAGGATTTGATGAGCTGATTTGCACCAATATGGATTAATGCTGATTGAGGGAGATAAAATTTCTTTTCTTCTTGCAGGATTAATAGAATTATGAGCTGGAAAAAAATCATAATATTAGATCAGATATTTTGCAGTAATTGACATAATTGCTTGTTTTTTAAATCCTATAAATTTAATTTAGAATCTAATCTTCTCTTTGTATGTATGTGTTTAAATATTTAATATTTAAATTTTATATATATATTGTCAAGCAGTTAAGTATAATTTAGACAATACCAGTAAAAATGATACATAAAAATGCGATGCATAAATTTCTGCCAATAAACATTTATCTGAGCGGATATCTAAAAAAATATGTACATATCAGAGAATTTAAAGAGTTAAAGGGCATCTTGCGCCATATTAATCTGTGCGATTGGTTTCATAGTTCGAAAAGTATGTCAAGTTTGCAGGCAAGATAATCCACTAATATCTTCGCAAGCAATGTCCTTGACATAATATTCGAATGTGGAGCAACTTCCAATCAAGTTTGCCAGCGCGGAAGAGGCAAACGCGATGATGGAAATTACACATCTCACAAGGATCACATCTTGCAAATTGTACATACATATTATAATGTAGGTCACGCAATCTTTTTCTTTCGCAATCTTATCGAGGAAACGCATACGCCACGAATGCATTTTATGATCGAATACACGCATGACGACATGCAAGAATGTATCGGTAACGTTATGTATGAATTACGTATGTATGGTTACGTATGAAAATTATTATTTCATGTAGAATATCGGATTTGCGAATATATACACACACAAACCTGAGCCGAAAAAATGCGATTTATGAATTAAACATCACGTATGCTAATCGAGGAACCGTACATGACCCGATCTAATCGCGATTACTATACAGTCAGACTGCTTACGAACAAATTATTAAATAAACGTATAAGTTCTTTTTCGCAAGCAGTCACGTGAAAATCTCATTATCCCAAGGTGCAACGGCATGCCGGACAAATGAGTGATTATTATGTGGAATCAGCATCTTTACACATTTATCTCTCTTTGCGTTTTCTGTGAACGATATTCTTATGTGCGTGGAATATATGCAAACGAGAGAATAAATAAGCGCTACGAATGTTGCATATAAATCAGCTTAGACAATGGAAAGGGATCTTCCCCAAGTTCAAAAACGCGCAAACACGTGCGTCATTTCATCAGCACGTGCAGAATTCTAAATCAAGGAAATGAAGATTTTATTACATCTCTGAAATCTCTCATCGCTTGATTCAGAATCACATCACAAAAAAGATGAAAGATCTAGAATCTATCTCATGTAACTGAAACTTATAATTCTCTGAAATAGATAATTCTCTGAGATATCAAACACACGCAAACAAAGGATCTATATATAAAATAATAAAAATTTCTCTAAAGAGAATTAATACTGCAGATTATATCTGTAAAATTAAATATCGATTATGACCATATAT